GCTGCAGAAGACATCTGTTCATTTCCTGCGTATTGTTAAGGAACCCAGCAGATTGAGAATGATTTATTTTATTTTTTGTTATCTCCAAGATCTCTCAACCTTTATTATTTCTGTTGCTATTACTGTACCTTCAGAGAATAATGGGACAATTATTTTCCACATGTCAAAACACTCTCATTGACTTGTGATAATTATATGCAGCTGTGTCAATCTATTTATTGTTCAGATACTCCCTCAACATTGAGCTCCTGGGAGAATGTCATATCTTTAAAGCCATCAATGATCTCTTTGGCTACCAGGGCAGGAGTGGTACCTCAACTGAGACCTGCTGTATTTCCATTGGTTCCTTCCAGCTCTGTACTAGCCCTCAATGACAGTTATAGCTTTGCCTTTAAAAAGCCTATTATTCTCAGGGAAAATTTTTGCATGGAGTATCATCATGTCCTTCTTCATATATATGTTTTTATTGATTTCAGAGAGAGGAAGGGAGAAGGAGAGAGGGAGAGAAACATCAATGATTAGAGAGAATAATTGAATTGATTTGCTGCCTCCTGCTCACCCCTCACTGGAGATTGAGTTTGCAACCAGGGCATATGCTCTGACCAGGAATTGAGCCTCCTGGTTCATAGGTCGATGCTCAACCACTGAGCCACACTGGCCGGGCTAATCATGTCCTTCTTATGGGAGAAATTCAGCCCATTGATCTGGTAGCAAGGAGTTTGTTTACTTATTAGAAACAGATAAAATGGGAAAACTGTTTTATCATCCAACAAATTAGCAGCATAACTCTATGAGTAGGAAAATCAGCTTTCTCATCACCAAGGTGCCGTGTCAATGTGACACTCACTGTGGGTAACGATTTCTCCTGTGAGCAGTTTGAAGTTTAAGGCACTTATGAATGGATTTTGTTTTTCTTCCTTAGTAATTACATCCTCTAAGATGGTACGAATCCTGTGTATTTGTGTAACACAGCTCTAATCTTTATTAAAGTATCCTGTGTTTAAGGGCTAGTAGACAATTTGTTAGAAGGTAGAAATCTTAGATTTTTCTCCTAAACTAGAATCTTGATTAGTGATTAAAGAAAATTCACATTAAAATCTTAAAAAACTATGTATAATGTCAGATAGGTACTAGACTTATCAAGGTGAATTGATGCCTCTAGGCTTTAGGAAAATGAAGAGATGGACAGGAGATGCGTATGTGTGTGTGTGTGTGTGTGTGTGTGTCCCCGCATGTGTGTGCATGTATAAAGGAAGAACAATAATTAGACATAAGATGCAGAAAATATGTTCCATTCAGAGAAGATTGTGATCATGAAAACCTGGTGTGGTGGACAGAGGAAGTGGTGGGAGTGATTTGGTCCAATGGGAGCATGAGGACACAGCAGAGGTGATAGAATAGATGGCATGGTTAGAAGATTAGTAGTTTGGTTTGAATGAGGGAGTG